TTTGACCTGATAATGGACGTATTGGTTTGTGACGTAAAGTGTGATGCTCCATGGAGTATGCTGTTTGCGGATGATATTGTGCTGTGTGAACCTTCCCAAACCAAGACTGAGAAGAAACTGGATGAGGGGAGGAAAGTTTTGGAAGAAAGCGACATGAGAATTAACAGTACTAAAACAGTTTATATGACTGAATGGCAGGGACGAGTGCAATATTAAAATCCAAAATGTGCCGCTTCCTGTGGTTCCGAGTTTTAAGTATCTAGGGGCTTTTGTCGAGATGGGGGGGGAGGATTGAGCTCGGAAGTGCAACATAGAATTGAATGTGGATGGTTGAACTGGAGGAAGTTGAGTGGCGAATTATGTGACAAGAAAGTTAGCTGCAAACTAAAAGGTAAATTGAACAAATCGGTTGTTAGACCTACAATTTACAATATTGTATGGTGCTGAGACATGACAATCACAAGAGCGCAAGAAAGAAAGATGGAGGTGGCGGAGATGAGAACGTTGAGATGGATGTGTGGAGTGTCAAGGAAGGATATAATAAGGAACGAGTTTATTTGAGGTTCTGTTAAGGTGGATCCCTGGAGCAGGAAGATGCAAGAATGCAGGTTGAAGTGGTTTGGCCACGTAGAGCGAAGAAGCGGCAATTATGTTGAAAAGAACATTGGAAAACTAGTAATAAAAGGAAAGAGGAAGAGAGGAAGAGCAAAGATGCGTTGGAAAGATAAGGTGGAAGAAGACTTGAACCAGAGGAGATTTAAGAGAGAAGAAGCCCTTGATAGGGAGAAATGTAAGAAACGTATTAGAGAAGGAAACGCCGACCCCACATAAACATGGGAAAAGGCGAGGATAAAGAAGAAAATAAGGAAAATGTATTGTCGATTTAAAATACTACTTACACTTAATGTCAGTTATTATTGCCACGATAAGTGAATTCACGAATAGGGCTGTTTCATCTATTTAATATTTTTTTCCTGTTTTTTTTTTCCATAGATGCCACAATAAACGTTATTGATAATCTGCCAGAAAGATTAAGAGCGAAATTAAAAATAAAAATTCGATTATAACAACATCATTGATTTGTTTTGTTAAATTAATAGCTAATGAAAATGTAAATTTAGTTGAATTTACTGATTTATCCAAGAATGTAATTTTTACTATTTTATACCATTATATTGTATAGTTAGGGGAGACCGGGGTAACTTCGGCATGCGGGGCAAGTTTGTCAAGCGCTTTTTTTTAAAAAAGCAAATTAAAAGGAGACTTTGGTTATAGGTTAGGCAGTTGAGTTTTATTGGTGTCTTGTTGAGTGTAGTGTTTTTATTGTTCTCCAACAAGCGTAGTTGAATTATCAAGCAAATTTTCATTTTCGTTNAGAAAGTTAGCTGCAAACTAAAAGGTAAATTGAACAAATCGGTTGTTAGACCTACAATTTACAATATTGTATGGTGCTGAGACATGACAATCACAAGAGCGCAAGAAAGAAAGATGGAGGTGGCGGAGATGAGAACGTTGAGATGGATGTGTGGAGTGTCAAGGAAGGATATAATAAGGAACGAGTTTATTTGAGGTTCTGTTAAGGTGGATCCCTGGAGCAGGAAGATGCAAGAATGCAGGTTGAAGTGGTTTGGCCACGTAGAGCGAAGAAGCGGCAATTATGTTGAAAAGAACATTGGAAAACTAGTAATATAAGGAAAGAGGAAGAGAGGAAGAGCAAAGATGCGTTGGAAAGATAAGGTGGAAGAAGACTTGAACCAGAGGAGATTTAAGAGAGAAGAAGCCCTTGATAGGGAGAAATGTAAGAAACGTATTAGAGAAGGAAACGCCGACCCCACATAAACATGGGAAAAGGCGAGGATAAAGAAGAAAATAAGGAAAATGTATTCTCGATTTAAAATACTACTTACACTTAATGTCAGTTATTATTGCCACGATAAGTGAATTCACGAATAGGGCTGTTTCATCTATTTAATATTTTTTTCCTGTTTTTTTTTTCCATAGATGCCACAATAAACGTTATTGATAATCTGCCAGAAAGATTAAGAGCGAAATTAAAAATAAAAATTCGATTATAACAACATCATTGATTTGTTTTGTTAAATTAATAGCTAATGAAAATGTAAATTTAGTTGAATTTACTGATTTATCCAAGAATGTAATTTTTACTATTTTATACCATTATATTGTATAGTTAGGGGAGACCGGGGTAACTTCGGCATGCGGGGCAAGTTTGTCAAGCGCTTTTTTTTAAAAAAGCAAATTAAAAGGAGACTTTGGTTATAGGTTAGCCACTTCAACCTGCATTCTTGCATCTTCCTGCTCCAGGGATCCACCTTAACAGATATTCAAAAAATACATATGACACAACCTGTAGTTTTTATTAAAAAAATCAGAAAACGCATATACATAACATTTTTTATGCAAAAAATGAAGCTTCAAGGATTTATTTTCTGTTGCTTGAATTTTTGCAAGCATATCAAATAGAAGTAATAAATCTACTAGATTAACCATATGTTTTAACAAATCATTTAAAGAAGTATTTTGTCACACACTTGTTTAAAGCTAGGGAAGAGAAAATTGTTCTTGTTACATTAATTGCTAACCCAAAGATGGCTGCAAGAAAAACAATTTCTTTAGAAAACAAAATTCTGCTTCTTTACTCATAGATAATAGAAAATAAATCCCTGAAGATATTTTTGTATAACACAGAATACAGTTAAATTCTGTTCTGTGCATAAAATGTTCATAATTTTCCAAAGTTATCCACTATTATTAATTCATTAATAAAATATTTATTTTCTTATTAACGTTTCATATTTTTTCACTTTTAAAAATACATTTAACTAGTTTTAAATTTAAGCTATTTATTGTTCAAATTAAAATCCCTTAAGAATAATCTAATTAATTATATTCAAATTTAATAATTACTTCTCTATTAATTTATATAATTTTATATTTTTTAAAGAAATTATTATTATTAAATTTAATTCTGTAAAGTCATTTTATACATTAAAAACTGCAGCAATGACACTTTAATCTGTACAAGTTAACATATTTATTTATTTATTTAACTTTAAAAAGTTTCTTATAAATTAAACAATTTAATTACAGCGATGTAAAAATATATCAAAATTAAAAAAAAAATATTCTTTGTGATAAATGTTTTGATCGGTTCTTTCGGCAGATTGATTAAATGTGTGACTTTCATTGACAGGACGCTATCTGATAGATGAGTGTTTTCTAATCTTTCAAAGATTACTTAAGGGATTAAGGGTGACCAGAAGCTAATCTCTGCTAACTGGATCTACTAAAGAAGAGAGTGTTATCTATAGAAATAAAAAGATTACGAAGAAATTAAATGAAAGTAACAAAGATACACAAACACTACATCACTGAATCATTCAGTATCGTTAAAAGAAAGGCAGAAGCATTTAGGTTATATGAATATCTGTTTAATTACTAAATATTTTAAATTAGTATTGTTAAAAAATTCTTTATATGCGCAGTTAAAACTTAATAATGGCAAATTCTGAACATCGGCGATTTTTTTATATTCCCTTCGGCCCTCAGCCCTTATCTGTTTGACCTGATAATGGACGTATTGGTTTGTGACGTAAAGTGTGATGCTCCATGGAGTATGCTGTTTGCGGATGATATTGTGCTGTGTGAACCTTCCCAAACCAAGACTGAGAAGAAACTGGATGAGGGGAGGAAAGTTTTGGAAGAAAGCGACATGAGAATTAACAGTACTAAAACAGTTTATATGACTGAATGGCAGGGACGAGTGCAATATTAAAATCCAAAATGTGCCGCTTCCTGTGGTTCCGAGTTTTAAGTATCTAGGGGCTTTTGTCGAGATGGGGGGGGAGGATTGAGCTCGGAAGTGCAACATAGAATTGAATGTGGATGGTTGAACTGGAGGAAGTTGAGTGGCGAATTATGTGACAAGAAAGTTAGCTGCAAACTAAAAGGTAAATTGAACAAATCGGTTGTTAGACCTACAATTTACAATATTGTATGGTGCTGAGACATGACAATCACAAGAGCGCAAGAAAGAAAGATGGAGGTGGCGGAGATGAGAACGTTGAGATGGATGTGTGGAGTGTCAAGGAAGGATATAATAAGGAACGAGTTTATTTGAGGTTCTGTTAAGGTGGATCCCTGGAGCAGGAAGATGCAAGAATGCAGGTTGAAGTGGTTTGGCCACGTAGAGCGAAGAAGCGGCAATTATGTTGAAAAGAACATTGGAAAACTAGTAATAAAAGGAAAGAGGAAGAGAGGAAGAGCAAAGATGCGTTGGAAAGATAAGGTGGAAGAAGACTTGAACCAGAGGAGATTTAAGAGAGAAGAAGCCCTTGATAGGGAGAAATGTAAGAAACGTATTAGAGAAGGAAACGCCGATCCCACATAAACATGGGAAAAGGCGAGGATAAAGAAGAAAATAAGGAAAATGTATTGTCGATTTAAAATACTACTTACACTTAATGTCAGTTATTATTGCCACGATAAGTGAATTCACGAATAGGGCTGTTTCATCTATTTAATATTTTTTTCCTGTTTTTTTTTTTCCATAGATGCCACAATAAACGTTATTGATAATCTGCCAGAAAGATTAAGAGCGAAATTAAAAATAAAAATTCGATTATAACAACATCATTGATTTGTTTTGTTAAATTAATAGCTAATGAAAATGTAAATTTAGTTGAATTTACTGATTTATCCAAGAATGTAATTTTTACTATTTTATACCATTATATTGTATAGTTAGGGGAGACCGGGGTAACTTCGGCATGCGGGGCAAGTTTGTCAAGCGCTTTTTTTTAAAAAAGCAAATTAAAAGGAGACTTTGGTTATAGGTTAGGCAGTTGAGTTTTATTGGTGTCTTGTTGAGTGTAGTGTTTTTATTGTTCTCCAACAAGCGTAGTTGAATTATCAAGCAAATTTTCATTTTCGTTCAATTCCATATAATATTTTTTTTCCATNCATGTTACAGCGGAAAATTAATGGTATCTTTAATGGCTCAAAAGGCTGCTTACGTCCCTACCACATTCGACGAATTAGCACGTGATGTAAAAAGTGGCGAATTTTCGTGTGGAGCTCCAAACGGCGAAGCTATTACTTCTTTTATTTTGGTAAAAATATTGAATTTTGTAATTATATTACTTATAATTTTTCTTAAGATTACAATTCTAAAATTTTATTCGTTATAACTATTCAAAGTAAAGCATCTAAATAATTTCTTTGAATTGACTATTAAGGAATCAACATTTGGGAATGCAAAGATATTCAAGGAACATATAATTTCCACCAATAATATATTCTATATAGAAGAGATTTATGAAAAAGTCATGAAAGGCCGCTTTGCATTCATACAAACTGATCTTTTCATAGGATTAATAAGGAAAGAAAATGATTTCAGTGAAGTTTTAATTTCAAAAGATACACTTGTTACCTACACAACAGCATACGGAGTAAGAAAAGGATTTCCATACAAGAAATATCTGGATGAAATGTAAGATTTCATTTACTTTTATAGTTTAATTTTAGCAAAAGTAGTCGAATTTGTTAGTTATTGATATATTAACGAATATGTCGAGACAAAAATAAAAAATTAAACTTTAAATAAATTATTAGTTATAAGATACAGTTATATTTAATACTTAATAAAAAATTGTTTTTAAAAATTCTAAGATACCACAATTGAATTATGAATATTAATCAGTAATTTTAGGTTAATTAATCAACTGAGACTATTCATAAACTATTCATAGAATAAATTCTTTATTTGAATGGTAGTTAATAATAAACTGTTAGTCTAAGTACAATTTAAATAGAAAAATGCAACATGTGCGTGAACGTAAATACAACATAGATTCTTCCTTGTTACCTTCCTCATCTTTACTTCCATAATCACTGTCTTCACGATTCTTTCCAACGCTGCGACATATACACAAGTTTGGGTTATCTGTGCAAGCACGGACGAATCATCAGAGATATATGTTCAAACTTAAACTCCGCATACACCTCAAAGGTACCAGTGAATCGGGCAGCGAAATTATGTTCTCGTAGATCCTTGAAATAAGCCTTTGACACTTTTAGAATATTGCAGGAGAATTTGTTTTGACTGTATCGTTCTTTTTCACGTTGCTGTTTAATCTGTGATTGTTTTAATCTTAGCACAAGATTATTTTCAAGTCCATTCAACTGACCTTCTCTTGCTATATCCTCAAACACGGAAATTTCCAGAAAAATAAGATTGTTTGATTCCCAACTACTTGAATAATTGCTTTAAGCTTGATACATAAAATTATTTCATATATCAATTCTCACGATACTTGGCCTTACACAAACACGAAAAATGTGAGATATCAACTCGGTATAGTTATATAAATAACCGGCTGTTATCCGCGACTTCGCCCGCGGTGGTTTTTCAAGCAAACCCCATTTATATCCAGTATTTCAAGAGCGCTATAATGTCAGAACGACAAGAGTTAAGACGCCTTGTGCTGTAATCACTAACTCATTGGGAATGATAAACTTCTATTTTGCTTATGACTCATTAATCGACGTCATAGCTTATTGAGACATGCATTTTACATCCTTATTAGCGATCTCAGTCTTAATCAATGTTACGGTTAAGATATTTTATCATTAACTCTTGTTTCGATTTTTCAAAAGTAAATCGACCTCTCACAGCTTAGGATAGGATGACAAATAATATGTACTGCAATCTCTTCAGAAAAAAACCTTTATTGAAATTATTTATACAGATCGCAAGGCAGTTGCCAACTTTACAGACTGCACAGAGAGAGAGAGAGAGAGAGGAAAAAACTACTATAAAATACGGGGATTTTCATTTTAAAAAACGGGACGAGATCTCGCTCTCTTTTCGCGAGCACTATCGTTGAGGAGTTGTTAAACACGGAGTTCTAACATTTCAATTAGCTTTTGTATCATTATTTTAATTAAATATACAATATATTTCTGAATTATAAATCCATATTTAATTGCCGAAAAGCTTCGTATACAATCTTCTTTAGATCAAATGTCAATATTTTCTTGAGTATTTGCCTTTGTTATGTCTTTTTATTGGTATTTTATAAAGTCAACTTTACATTATAAACTAAAAAAAACGAAAGTAAATTCGAAAAGAATGTTTTTATTCTAGAATAAAATAGAAAGCTTATAGAATAGAAAGTCTAAAAAAAAACTTGTGTATTTTGTTCTTACCTTGTTTTTTATACAATATTACAGTAAGTCTTAAGATTTATACTTTATGCCATTGTTTATGAATGTCAAATTGATAAATAAATTTATTAAATATGTATTAGGTATAAAGAGAGTTTTATTTTGTTAAAAATAGGACTTACTGTATCTTAAGACTTACTGTAATATATATGTTTTATATATTTACAGAAACAGTAAATATATAAACTAATTTATGCACATAAAATTAAATATAATATATATTATAAAATTTTAAAATATTGTTGATGACTTCATAATTCTCATACATAAGAACAGATAATGTATGTATATATTATATAAATTAAAACAATAAAATGAATTAAATGTTTTATAGATTTTAATAACAAAAATAAGTCATTTAACTCCTGCAATATGAAGGTAATGAGAGAACTTTCATAATATTTTTTAAAATGCAAATATATTTACAAAATTTTTTAATACTACTTTGATAATACTGTTTAAATAAATTTTTTCTCGAATTTTACCTAAACTATTTTTAAAATTTATATTGACTTATTTTAGATTCTTTAAAATATTTATATCTGCAAGGAATCTCATTTCTTGTAAGTAATTCATTTTTTGGATTTAAATTCTTGATCAAAACAAATGTTTTAAAAAATTTTATTGTTGAAATAAATTAAATAAGTTGATAAAATCTTTTGTAAATAAATTTATTTAATTTCTTTCAACAATATTAAAAATGGAAAATCGACTATTTAATTAATATTCAAAATTTAAGTACAGGATTAAATAATTGTTTATTTTTATTTATCATAATGAATAATAAATGTGGGGTTTAGACGAGTAACATTCCTAAACCGTTAAGACAATAAATTTACGAGGGGTTGCGGGGGAGGCGAGGAGAACGAGGGAGAGTCAAGTAAGAGGAGAAGTAAAAAAGACGACAGTTGGTGACGACGCGAAAGTGAGAAAGGACGAAAAAGACGTTACGAAGGCGAAAACATTGTCTTCTATCAAGACGGTTACGACGGTTACGAACGGTGGAAGATTATTGTCATTTCTAGTTCTCTATCTCAATAACTATCCCTACATAAATAAAATTACACTATTTAAAATTTAAGAAATCCGGCATGTTGCTTAACTTTCCCGGCAACATTTGGTGGCGCCATCTGTTATCATAGTTTAGTAAAAATCTTTTCATATATTTTAATTATTATAATTAATTATTTAATTATAAAATGGCAAAAAACTTAATTTTGAAGGTAAAAAGTTGTAAATGCTAATAACAAGTAAAATTATAATTAAGTCAGACCTTACTGGAGACACATGACCTCCTTTATCTCCCCACCCCTTGACTTTTAACCATCAAAATTTAATAGCATCAATCCTCCTAATTCACAAACCTCCCTCCAAGATTTCAGAAATTTTCGACAAAAAGCACAGGAGTTATTAAGCTTCAAAGAGGATGAACAAAACAAAATCGTGCCACACACATACACATACATTCACACACACTAACATCCATATATACAGAAAAAAACCCTCGATTTTTGCATTTCTCGACGTTTCAAAGTGTCCCGAGTCAAAAAATGTAAAAATGCCAAACTTTCCCTCTGTTATACAGGCGAGAAAGTAAAAATATATTTATACAGTGGAACCTCTACAGTATATTCGTCAACCTCTATATTCGTAATATTCGATATTCGTCACATTTTGATAACTTTTTTATTTTTCCATATTCGTCAGTATTTTCTGTATTCGTCGTCATTCCCAACACCGGAAGTGGCACGCCCACGCCGCAGCTAGCCGTGTTAGCTAGCTACAGTTAATCAGTCTGCTTTGTGCGGTCGTCGTGTGTGTTGTTCAGTTATTGAAAAATAACTCAACAACACACACGACCAAGTTCCAATTGCTCCAAAATGGCACCCAAATGTTACTATAGTCAACCAAAATATAAATGCATTCAATGATAATGTAATTGCCTACTTCAAAAAAGTTTTAAAAAACAAACAAAAACACACAACACTGGACACGTTCATTATTAAATCGAGTTCTACTGAATCATCGGCAAAACAGATCCCATGATCATAATTGGAACTGCCTAATGTTTTAATTGATATGTTTTCTTCTAAACAATAATACTATATAATACTGTTCTTCCCTTCTACCACTATACTGTATTTATTTAGAACAATAAAGTTTTACAAACAATATAATTTTTATTATTGTATTGTACCTTTTTTCAAGATGGGAACAAATTAATTGAATATCAGTTATTATGAGAAGAATTGTTTCTATATTCGTCATATTCCATATTCGTTAGGTCCTTAGAAACAGATTAATGACGAATATAAAGGTTCCACTGTATTAGAAAAAAATTATAGAATACACCATTCTACAATATCATCTTATTTTTTAAATTTAAATTTAAAAAGTTTTAGTTTGTATAATGCTTAAGCATTATTAATGAAAGCTTATAACTACATCCTATTGTCTGAATCTAACTCATTCCTGAAAGCGATTCGTATATCGGGAAATATTTTCTATTGTTTCTTAAAGGAAAAATTCTATCTTGTTCTTAGTTCATCCAAATACTGGTAACTCCAAACAACGTCTCTAAATAATGCTAACATACTGTAAAACATCTGCTTACCTAGCAATCCATAATTTGACTATGATATTAAACATTACAGATACTAATTATCTTACTAATAAACAGTTAATGAGGTCATTAAAGGATATGTTGTAAGCCGTAACATAACAAATAAGTTTGCATAGTACTCCCTGTTAGAAATTGTATAGGAATTGCATTTTATTTAATATGAAGTGAACAGCGATGAAAATGTAATAATACTATTTATATTATATCAAAATATCACTGTATAAAATCAGACAACAATAAAAATAAACAGAATCGGTATTTGTTTATTTTAATTATTATAAACAAACCTACTGTAATGAACTGTTTAAAATGAGATCTTAAGGTTGCACTGAAATTTTCTGCTAAAAAGTCACTAAACAGCTTTTCATAGTAAAACAGATGCACCCATTGAAACAAACGAAAACAGACTTTTAGAACAGAGCCGCTAGCGAACTACCTCCCATTTTCACTAGTGTGACTTTCGAATTTTTAACAAATGCACTTCGAAGACATTCGTAATACCAGGATTATTCGATTCTGATAAAGCAATGGTTACTAAAAATTATCATTCGTTGTAGTGAGAATTCAGATACAGAGAGTTTTGGTATAAAGATATGATGGTATTCTATCATAAAATTAAGATATAGTTAACACAATTTATTAATA